AAAATGCAACTGGACACTTATATCTAGCGCTCAGAATAGCCCAGCCCCAACTCGGCCATCCTCCCTCTCCCCCCCATCCGATAGGCTTTCATTCACTCCTGCTCAGCGATTCCTCTTTTTACCACTGTAATTACTAACAAATGTCTGCCAGGCTCCACTTTTTCTTTAGAATACTATCTCCTCCAATACACATAAATACATCATCCTAACATCCTCCGGTGAAAAATAGGTTTAAGTCATTATGATTTCATGTCTATAAAATGTTGAGATCCTGACTTCCAAAGAGACAACAGCTACCATTTAATCATTGTGTCTCTCTCCTCAAAAGAGCTGAAGAAGAAAAAGAAAAACAAGGCAGAGAGGTGTTTTAGAGGATTCTTTGTCTTATCAAAGTAAGTATATAAATGATATAAATGGCAGTCGTCTTTGCAAAATTAAACAAGAGTAACAGCAAGGATAGGCTCACTAGAAACTCTATCATCCTGCTGGACTAAGACTACTGAGAATCAAATTTCTCTCTAAAAATCTAAACAAAGACTTTAGAGTATTATGTAAAGTAATCCTGCATATGCTTTCTTTAGTTTATATTATGCATTCCTTTAGTCACCCTTTTCTTTTAACAAATATTTGGTAAATGTTTATTCCACTCCAGACAGTGTCCTATTTTTTTTTTTTTTTTTTTTTTTTTTTTTACTTTTACTTCCCTAAAAATAATTCTCCGGTAAAATTCCATGCATTTCCAACAGCCTTCTCTCAATGTCCACCCGCAGACCTGGGACTCTGCAATGATTCTTCTTCCTGTTGGAGGGAGGAGAGCTCACTTCCTGCTGGCCTTAGTTCTGAATGGGAGAGGAAAGCCACCACACTATGTCAGAATCGCTTTGGGGGCACCAATGGGACTTTAGAAGTGGAGACGCATTTCAGCCAATATTGTCTTGCTGTACTTTACGCTTCCTGCGTCGCTGGTCAGACTTGAGGTTAAGAAAAGGCCCCTCCCCATAACCTCAGAGAGCCATGGCTTGCTTGGGAAGGTACAGAGCACAGCAGAGCCAAGGCCTTATCTCAAAGGATAAGGTGGAGTTTGTTCTTTTCCCCGATTGCGAAATATGAGATTATTAAGTAATCTGTTTACATCATACAGATCCGAAATGCTGGCTGACTTTCCTAAGGATAAAGCATGTATAAGATATCCCTCTGGAAACGGATACCTGGAGCTCTTTCTTCCTATCGCAACTTTGGTTCACGCCACAAAACTGGCCCTCTCCCCTCTCTGTGTGCGTTTGAAGTGAAAACAAGTGAAGTTCTCACAGTCAACATTTCTCAGTCATGCTGGTAACATCAATTTGTCATCTACCTGGGCTGGAGATGGAGTCTTTTGGTACAGAAACAAATATGATTATCTTAAACGTTAATTTTTTTTAAATGAGTCTATCCACAGTAGCCACTCAGAGCCAAAAATGCTAACTCCACAAAACCATACACAGAATAGCATAACCAATGAAAGAACAGATGTTAAAGCTTCTCTTTCTTTTCTTGTATTTTTCTTTTTATTAAATTTATTGCGGTGACATTGATTAATGAGACTACATAGGTTTCATGTGTACACTTCCATGATATATAATCTTCATATTGCATTGTGTGTCCAGCACCCAAAGTCAAATAATCTTCCATCACCGTATACTTGACTCCTTTCACCCTTTACAATATCCCTATACCCCCTTCCTTCTGGTAAGCACCATACTGATGTCTGTGTTGATGAGTTTTTGTTTGTTTTTCTTGTCCGTTTGCTGCTTTCAGTTTTATATCCCACATATGAGTGAAATCATATGGTTCTGAACTTTTTCTGTGACTTACTTCACTAAGCAACGAGCAAAAATAAAGCTTCTCTTTATTTTAAAGATTAAAAATTGATACTTGGTTACCTTTTTAAAGAGTGTATCTTTACACCACCACTAACACAAAAGCGCAAGGCAAATTATGTGAAAAGTAGGTTTAGGTCTTTAAATATATCCCACACAGATGAATTCATTATTTAAACAGAAGATGACTCCTCTTCTGACTCACAGTTCTGAGTGAGTTTTGCAGTTGATGGTATTCTGCTAGTTTTCAGATGGTGGATTAAGTGTCATGCCACCCACGGAGAGTAAAGTTGAACCAGGTGAACTGAGGGCGGGGCTGAGGTCCCTGCCCCCCTCCCCTGCTCAAAACTACAGCAGCAGATGGACATATGAGAGAGCCCTGGGCTCTTTTTGCTTCAGGCTGAGCTTAAGCCAATGCCCCCAAATTCCAGGGTCTGACAAGAATTTTAAAAGCATGAACATTTCAAAGTAGCTAGAGCAGCTGAACCTTTGTCACCCTAATAATCACTTAATGGAAATGCATCTTATTTGTGCAAATTGCTTTAAAAGACCAAGTTTTAATGATAAGTTTGCTTTTGCCAAGTGTGCTGCAATATGCGTCAATCATGTTTATCTTAGAAGCAAGAGAAATAACTGCTTGCATTAAAAAAAAAAATTGTTTGGTAATAAAAATGGAAGGTGTTCCAGCTCCTTTAACCTTTGGATTCCTCATCCTTAAATCTGGAGCACTTCCTTCTGCCATAAACGTACCAGAACTCACCTCCTTATGTTCTGAGATAACAGTTTGCTTCCCTTCAAATACATCCTTCTCGGTGCAATTAAAAATATGAGGGAAACTTATGTCCTTGAGGAGTACATTCCCACTCAAGATATGAAAGAATTCTCATAGAGGTCTTGGCAGTCAAGTCATCTGCTTCTTCATGCTCAACCACTGGGGGCATAGATAAGTCATCACACCCCTGTCCACTGCAACTTCTTTAAACTTTCACCTAGAGTCACTATAACAATTGCTCCCACCCCGACCAGATGGAGCCAGATGAGAAAATGGGAGGGTCCATTGGGTGGGCACAGAATTAGAAACTAGGAGCTTCTATTGGAGTTCCACGAGGTATACTGTATAGGAGCCAGTACTGTTGGGTGTTCTCCCCCAAATAATACCACAGAGAACCATCCTGTATGCCCTAAGGACTCAACCACAGGCAACTAGCTAAACATGCCTTGAAAGAAATATAATCAACTCAGGCTCCAACCAACATGAATGATAATCATTAAAATAGAAGTCTCAGAACAGGAAAATACACAAAATCCATGTGGCAAGTTTACTCACCACAAAGCCAAACAATTTTACAGATTTCTACTTCCTTTTGTTGTCTTTTTTTGTTTCTTCTTAGAGAAACCTGGCTACTGATTTGGCTATCCATCAAATTGTCATCTTAATTTTGTGCCTAAAAATCAAAGGAAATACTAGTACTTCAGGAAATTAACTTCTTAGTCAAAGCCTTATGAAACCAGTGTACAATATCCAATTGCAGTAGGGTGCTGTCAATCCCACAGAAGTTACACACTAAAGAAAGTGATTTACATCTACTTTGAACTTAGCTAGAACATTATTCTCTAGGAAAACACACACGCGCGCACACACACACACACACACACACACACACACCTCATTCTCAAACTTCCTCACTGATTTTTCTACTTTAATTGTCCTGAAACTGTAGAATATTCTTTCAATCCTACAATATTTCTTACATACATATACTATAACTTTAATATTCTTATCTCCTCTTTGACCCTGGGACAGTGACAATGGACACTTAACACCACAGGTTGTAAGAACCTCAAGACAAAAGTTTTACTATTTTGCTTTCACGAACTTGACTTTTTCCCACAGTCATGTTGTAAAAGTGCAAGGAACCCATAAAACAATATGAAAGAAAATATTGTAGTTTCCTTTTTCCTAAGAAACTTAGGTATCAAATTCTTATTAGTCTCAAGAGTACAACTGCAGGAAGTAGCAAGGTGGAGGGGGTAACCTACTCTCCAACACTGCATGGGCAGAAGAAACTCACGAAGGAAATGTGAGAAAAAACACCGTGGTCAGAGTTTTCAAACGAGGTGGCACAGAAGCATCACTTGCCTGGGATGAGTCTGACTGGAGAATCACTCCAGAACACATAATACCACCCCCTCTCTCTCCTAACCCCACCAACCTGCTGGTCCAAGATCTTGGTATACATTAAATGTTGACCAAATGGCACTAATAAAACTAGAGTTTCCAAACACATATAAGGTGTCTCTCGGGTGATTTTAACAGGCAGATTTTATGACATGGTTCACCTGCAAGTTTCATTTAATTTTATGAGTACCGATTATTTTTTAAATCTCATTATAAATATTCATAACACCTTGCATATCTGTGATGCCTTCAGATAATTACTTTAACAAATATTAAGTCTTTTTTCTTAATATCAAATCAATAGCATTATTCCACAGTTTTTGATAAGTCAAGAGAGAGACCCATTTAAAAGCATCATAATATGAGCTAAAATTTAACTTTTATCCGGTTTTTAACAGGACTGGGAACAGTAGCAAAAGAGGTCCTGGGGCGTTTTTAAGTAAAAAATGCTTGTCTATCTTCTCCTGAGAATCATCCATGATTACCACTCTTTACATCCTCAGCTTATACCCCTCTTCCTGGCCACACTGCTATCTGTCTCTTTCTGTAACATCTGTTTCTCTACCTTGCAAGCTATGTGAAAGAACAGGAGAAGATTCAACCAAACACATTTATATAAACCTAACAGCTTCCTTGAATTAGTCACTGAAAGGTGGCTTATATTTTCTGGCAAAAAATAAAAATAAAAAATCTTTTTTACAAAGAAGCACCTGCTTCAACCTAAGACCCCACCCCTTTTTTTAAAACCATGCAGGACTACACAGACTCAGATTCTGATGGTCCGATGAGGTTCTTAAAATTACTTTCTGTGTTGAAGCAAACTGGGGAGATTAATGAAACTCGTCGAAAAGCTTTGGTTTTTAACTTCAAAAATATACAAGCTACACAAAACGGACGAATGCTACTATCTACAGAGACATACGTATATGCATTTATACTTCCCTGGACCCCAAAAAGCTCACCTTCTACTTCTTCTTCATCACACACATGCTTAAGGAAAGAAGCCCCTCTGTCCAGGACAGCTTCATCCTCCATCCTATAGTAATAAAAAAGAAAAAAAGAATGCTCAGACTTCTCCTGGAGGGAGCCACTCGAAGCAGCCCAGCTTCTGGGCAGGTTGACCTGCAAGCTGTTGTTCATGTTAGCGGGGCACAGCCACTCTTCGTGTGGGGACTGCCGCTTCTTCATGCAGCTCCTCTCCTCTGGTGGTAGAGAGCGCTCCGGTCCCACATGGCTTCAGTCCTAACCTTGAGAGGCCACCCACATGGACAGGTGAGAGAAAATCATCTCAATCCCGCAGGCTGGACGGTGGGGGGTGCTCCCCTCCGGGATTTGCATTTGAGGAAAAAAGGAAGAAAAAAAAAAAAGGAAAGAAAAAAATACCAAGAGAGGAAGTTTGGTATGTCTGGAGCGCTCGTGATGATCGTTTGTGGAAATCCAGCCTCGCTGCCGAGCTCTTTAAACGCCCACTGCATGAAAACGTATGCCCTCACACACACGCATGCACACCCACCCACACACAGAGAGCGGCAGGGAGGTAGGCTAGTGCACAGTGAGAGCCTAGCTCCCAGCCAGCCTCTGAATACCAGCACAGCCCAGTATGCTCTGTGGAGTGGCAAGCTTTGAGTCACATGTTGGCCTTACGGAAATCTGACATCTGAGGATTATCCAGCAACGCGGCGTCGGCGACAGACGCACATATATGCCACCCATTCATTTAGGTTCCACATTCTCGTCGCACGCCTCTCTCTGGGTATGTCTGTCCCGTTAACTCTTCCATGAAGGGCACCCAGTGCTTCCTTTCGGAGCCACATTATGCTGTCCCCCTGTCACCTTACATAATAGGATCCTCTCTGCAGTTTCACTTGCTAAATAAGACCTCAGGACCCATCCAAGTGATGACAGTGTTGTTACAGCCTCCTGGTGCCAAGCATGTTTCTAGTTTATGGAGCAAGCTAAGGTTTGTTTCCTTACTCTGCGACTCGTTTTCACTGCATTGACTTTGACACGCAGAACTCCACACACTCTATTTATAGTGAAAGCAGAAAGAAATCCCCAATTGCTCAAATGCTGCTTGTGTCGGCCCGGTCTAGAAACAAAGAACTTTCTCCGGGGACAGCTGCTCTATGTCAGACCAAACATGAGCGCCGCCAGAGGACCAAATGTTTTCCTCTGTATTCTGTTCATCCATCTATTCAATGGTCAGGCATTGAGCACTATGGGTCTTTTCCATATTGCCTGTATAACTTATTCTTGTGTTTCAGATACTTGTTATAATATATGTGGATATGGCCGAAACCGGTTTGGCTCAGTGGATAGAAAGTGGGTCTGTGGACTGAAGGGTCCCAGGTTCAATTCCGGTCAAGGGCATGTACAATACATTGGTTGAGGGCACAAACCCAGTGGCGGGGGGAGGGGGGGGGGGGCAGGAGGCAGCTGGTCGATGTTTCTGTCTCATCGACGTTTCTAACTCTCTATCCCTCTGCTTTCCTCTCTGTGAAAAATCAATAAAATATATTTAAATAAATGTGTGTGTGTGTATATATATATATATATATATATATATATATATATATATGCACTGAAATCACATTTTCCTCCTCTTTATTTTAGGAGCATATCCATCTTGCAAACAACCATCTTAGCACAAAATATCAGAAGTTTGGTGTCGGGTGGACCTGGGTTTTAAAAATCTCGGTCTAACACTTAATACTTGCATCACCCAGGACAAAGAATTAACTTTTTGAGCCTCCATGTTTCCATCTATAAAATCGGGATACTAATATCGACCTTGCAGGACCGCTTTCAAACTCAAATTAGGTAACCAATGTGAAAGTACTCAGTTTTGTGCCTAGCACCTAGTACATGTTTAAGAAAGGTAAGTTTCTTTCCTCTCTTCTTTCCTGATTCCTTTTACCCTAACACTTGTTGGTGCACAATGCCATTAGGAAACCCATTACCTTTGGACCCTTGCAGAGCATTTTCTTTCAGGGGTACAGGACATGCATAAAGTAATTCATTCTGATAAATATCTAGTTCCTTCTCTGTATTAAAGCTAAAAATATAAAATTTAAATACAAATAGGATTTGGATCAGCCACCAGAATTACAGTAGAAAAACAATGCCTCGAAGACTTGAGAAGTCAAGTCTCTTGCCAGCCCTCTCTGAGCCTTTCCCATGAAGAATGAATGACACACTGATTTGCTGTTCCAGCCACTGCTATGTCCTGGCACTCTCCAGAGGGAGGGGGACGCATCTGTGAGTAAGACCGACAATTCCTGAGAAACAAAATAATAAATAGGTAAACAAGGTCATCGTAGACGGCATTAAGTGCTTTGTAGGAAATTCAAGGAGACCGTGGCTACCTGGCATAAGGTGGTTCAGATGAGGCTCCTGAGGACGTGACATTTGAGCGGAGAAGAAAATGATATGAAGGAAGCAGGCATTTGAAGATCTGGGGGCAAAGCATTCCAAGCACAGGGAACAGCAAGTGCAAGGCCCTCAGGTGGGAACAGGTTTAGATGTTCCAGGAATGGAAATGAGGTCCCTGAGGCTGGAGAGAGAGGCCGGAGGAATCAGGGCCATGCAGGCCATGGTGGGCAGTCAGCATCAGAGGTGTTCTGGGAGCCACTGAAGAGCTATTTTTATTCTGATCTACTGGGGTGTAATTGACATATAACATTCTATGAGTTTCAGATGGACAACACGGTGATGTGATATTTGCATGTACTATGGCCCCTCCTTACAGAGAAGGATGTGTTCCAAGACCCCCAATGTATGCCTGAAACCAATGCTACTGAATCCTAGATATTTGCTTTTTCCTAGACATACATACCTATAAAGTTTAACTTATAAATTGGGCCATTTCACAGATATAATAGAAGATTCATTCTTACTGTTCATCTTAGCAACCTCAGCATACTACATCTTTTAAAATGTGTTTTTATTGATTTCAGAGAGGAAGGGAGAGGGGATAGAAACATCAATGATGAGAGAGAATCATCGATCAGCTGTCTCCTGTACCACCCCAACCCACTCTCCCAGCCCCCCCCCCCCATCCCCAACCCAACCAGGAGCATGTGTCCTAACCAGGAATCGAATGAACAATTACCTTCTGATTCATAGGGTGACACTCAACCACTTAGCCACTCCGGCTGGGCTCAGCTTACTATATTTTTTTTTTTTCTTTCCTCATTAAGTCAAGAACTTTTACTTAAATGAAGCACTTTTCTTTGGCCTATCCAAATTGCCAGATCACTACTCTTGTGCTTTGGGGCCATTATTAAGTAAAATAAGGATAACCTGAATACAAACACTGCGAAACCACGCTCTCTGATGGCAACTAAATGACTCATGCATGGAGAGCATGGACAGGCTGAACAGAAGGAAGACTCATGTCTGGAGTGGACGGAGCAAGACAGCACGAAATCTGATCACACTACTCAGAACGGCACCCAATTTAAAACTTATCAATTGTTTATTTCTGGGATCTTACATTTAATATTTTCTAACCTTATGGGTAACTGAATCCATGGAAAGTAGAAACTTGCATAAGAGGAGACTATAGTACTATGAAATGATCACACCACAATATGTCTAGTTAGCATATAGAGTTACAAAATTTTACTTCTTGGAATGAGAACTTTTAAGAGCAACTCTTCGGGCAACTTTCATATGCAATACAGTATCATTAACTACAGTTAAGAGTTGTAAGATGGAACTGTATTATCATTTTTAAAGGATCATTCTGGTTGCAATGTGAAATACAGATCATCAGGAGACCAAAAAAACCACGAAACTATCTCAGGAGTCCAGGGAAAGCTGTGGGAGAAACGAGTTTGGGGGAAGGACTCAAGAGTCCTTTCCTGTCCGGTTTATGGTTGAGATGCGTATTATATATGAAAAAGGAACTATCCGGTACACAATTCGATGTCTACATCTGTAGCACAGGAGCCTGAGACTAGAGAGAAAAACTGGGAAATCAATGAAGAAAGCTGGTCTCTGAAGCCATTACTACCGTAGATGAGATCATCCAGGAAGAAAATGCGGAAACAGAGGCGTAGAACTAAGACCAAGTGCCGGGCATGCCAGCATTTACAAGCAGAGCAGAGGAACAAAAGCAGTGAGTGAGGTAAGAGGAAAACCAGGAAAGAGTGATGTCAAGGAAGTTGACGGAAGAGGAGAGTATGCTGCTGGGAGGCCGAGCAAGGGGGAGACAGAGAAGGACAAATGGGGTTTGGCACAATGGAGGTTGTTGGTGACCATGACCAGAGCACCTGAAACATACCATACCCGGTGCTAGACATGTAGAAAGCAGTCACTCATTCCCTTTCTCTTCCCTGCCCTCCTCCACTCACCTATTCAGCAAATATTTACTGAGTATCTGCCAGGTGCCAGGCACACTTCTAGGCTCTAGAGTAGGGGTGTCGAACTCAATCAGAGAAGGGGCCAAAATCTAAAATCCAGCCTAAATCTCGGGCCGAATGGTTTACTGAACAGTCATAAACTGTCATTGTGATGGAAACGCAGCGGAGTGCAGTGATGACAGCACAGTGCGGGCCACATTGCAAGGCCTGGCGGGACGGATTTGGCCCGCGGGCCTTGTGTTTGACACATGTGCTCTAGAGATATGACGAGGAGCAAGATAGGATTCTACTGTGATCACATCTGCCTTCTCCCCTAGCAATCCAGGGCAGCCGAGCCAAAGGGTAATACAGTGTTTGACGACATGGGTAAGGATGACAGCTTAATGGGAAGTTTTCTTAAAAGACCTCAGAAGTCCCATAAAATCCTGGAGCCCTGTACTACTTACTGCATGGACATTCATAGGACGGTTTCCCCTTTGGGAAACAAGGAGTTTAGCCCACAGTTCTTCTCAGAACTAACACTTTCCAGACCTACCAACCTACAGAGTCCACCACCGTTACCCACAGAACATCATTTCTGCGCCTCGCCGTTAATCGAACGGATCCTATTTACTTATTTTCTATATATTCCCTACATCGAACGTGTAGCCTCTGCACCCAAGCCCTTCCC